CCCCAAAACCCCAAAACCCCAAAACCCCAAAACCCCATCACGATATTATTTAATTGAAAATGGAAAGTTCTTGCCTAAAGTATGAAAACACTAATAAATTTTAGCTCTCTACTTTTCAAACTCTGGTTGGGCAGCCATCCTGAGTCATTCAATCAACTTAAATTTGTGTATAGGCCTAAGACTGAACAGTTAAAGAGAAGAAGAGTTAATTGCACCAAAGAGAAGCTTCAGAGAGGCATCTTGAAAATAAAGACAACCGAACTTGGCCTCAACAATGATATCAAAGATATCAAATGATATAAAGTAAGTTCACAATTTCTGATGCATATCGCTAGTCTAACCTTGGGCAGAAGTTCCAGAAACCTGCAACTACACGATCAACTGTACATAACTCTTCAAGAAAAGGAACGTCTTCCCCTGGTAAGATTTTTGAAAGAATTTTGTAGTGGGAAAATTATTTTTAAAACGGAGTCTTGAGACCAGTCGTTCAAGGAGTCATGCCGCTTTTACTACACTTCCTCTGAGAGTTGCTCAAAGGTCGAGTTATAATGCTTGAAAGGTTCAGTGTAAAAGGTTCATATCTAATCCATATGAAAGTAGTGCGCTTACTTCAAGGTAATTCTCAATCTGGAACTTACAGAAGGGGGATGACTCCGACTCCCGTTAATCTTGCAGGGAATATCGCAAGTGTTATTATACCAAAGGCCCAGAATTCTTTCTTGACAAGGGCAAACTCAGGAAATCCCTATCGAAACTTGAAATTTAAGAAGACTCCTCAATCTTCAAGGAGCTCCTCAGCAAATGTGAAAGAAGGTACAGCTAAGGCAGCTCACCATTATTATAGATAAGTTGATAAGGGCCGAAGCCAGGATCAATTCCATCATATTCAAGAGACAACAGAAATAAATTCTACATTAAGTGTCTAGAAATGATGGGCGATCCCGAAGGAAACTTCAGAGATCTGAAGTTCCTCTCACTAAAACCTAGTCACGATAGGAACTTTAAGCCTCAGGACGTGCTGAAAATGGCTAAGAGATACTGGACTTTGTTTGGAATGGCAGAAACTAAACCTAAATATTTCCGATCGGTTTCACATTCTTCGTACTTTATTTTTAAAATCATAGATTTTTGATTGTTAAAAACATGAAGTCAAAGACAAAGGCTAAAAATCCAATGATGAAAGAGTTCATCTGGATTGGGTATAACAATTGATATATATCTAGGTATCAAGCACTCGCATCATGAAGATCCCAAGAGCACGTCCATTTAGAAAATAGCTGCAAGAACTTATGTAAGCCTTAGTGGGACAATCTGGCACACTTTGTGTAGGTGACCTATACTTCAAATAAGCTCATCCAGGTACATCTGAACGGATGGAAAAGTAAGTTACTTTGATAATCACTCTAGTTCCTGAATTTTACAACTGTGGAGAAGCTATGAAGAAGTAACCCTTAAGAAAGAATTACTGTTTAGGAACACTTCAATGACATTAATTCACTTTTTGAAACTCAATATGATCTTCCCTTTTTATGAGAAGGTCAAAGAAGAGGAAACACAGGGGTATATCCAGAACGGAATCCGGCTGTTTTTCTATGATTTTCAAGGAAAATCAAAAATATTTGACCTCGATGCGTAGGGCTCCATACTAACATTTTAGGGAAGAAATAAAGCCTCTAAAGCTTGAATATAATCAGATAAAGGTAAGTCATTCCCTCTTTCTTTAGGCTAACCATCTTCGGGAGGCCAAGAAGTTAGAACACCAACGGAGAATCACTAAGCGAACTCTGAAGCAGAACTTTTCTGAAATAAGGCTTCAATAAGAATGATGATTAACGGGGTTTTGGGGTTTTGGGGTTTTGGGGTTTTGGGGTTTTGGGG